TACGGCCAACGCGTTCAGTATCGGTGTACTTGCATCTCAAGCATACGTATTTACGCCATCGTGGATTTGGTGTCCCTCCTTCCTTCACCACCAACTCTTTCACCCCACTTCTTCCCCTTTCTCTCTTTACACGAGCTCATGTGCATTACTGAACGTATTCTAGCATAAAATATAACTTCCTAGTTGAGAATTATTTGCCAAGCAACTTTCCCTCACCTCTCCCATACCATATTTTTCCTCTGTTGCTAATTAAGGTAGCAAGTGACTACGTACACAATCTACATAGATACGTATATGTATATTACTGCATATGAAAGAGGAAAACTTACTGAAATAACAAACACTTAGTAGAATAATGCACATTTAACAGCTTTGTCTTCTTCTTCTTCTACATTTAAAATATATTATTTTACATTTAAAAATGGAATCACTTGCATTGATAGTAGCTAATTTAAATGTTCCTGAAGTACTGACTTGTGTTTGCCTAATTCTTGACACAAGCGATGATCGGACTTAGTTTATGTCATCGATTTTATCCGATCCGACATATTCTAAATCCCATGGACAAAGTTTCGTTCGATCATGTGTGTGTGTTCCGTTTAGATTATAAGTTCTATACTAGTTGTTGGTCTTTCAGATCCTGAGTCTGCGTAGATATAAGAAAAATGAATTCTAAGTTTCCGAATCTATGTTTGGTAATCCATAAGTTAGATTTCAATGTGTACATTTATCTTATAAATGAAATTCTATGATCTATTCTATAGATCATGAATTCTTTATCATAAATCAACTTGACAGCACGAGAAATTCATGTAATTTTGAATACTGTTTTATTCCTTATTAACATAAGAAAAATACTAAATAAATTATTTCTCCAAAAATGGGCAATATACCTGATTTCATAGAACGATCGAAACGTTTTCTAATTTACCACGAATTCTCTTTTGGCAAGCCATCGAGTCGCCAAGGACAAAACTAACAAACTGTGAGATGACCGCAAAAGGAGGAAGGTAGGAAGAGTTCAAGGAGAAACGCTAAAGTTATAAACTATAATAAATTGTACCTAATGTAGGTTAACGCGACCAGTGGAAGAATTATCAGCCAAATTTACGACTAGCTTGTTGCCAAAACCTCTATCGTAAAGAAAAGAAGTAGCAATCCGTGTGACTGGTAGAATAGTATCTAACCGCGACGATAATGGTTTCCTAGAACGGGGTAAAGAGAGAAATAGAAGGATATCTAGACGAAAGAAGCTTGAGGAAAAGCATAAGATTCGCCCGCGACAACGAAGAAGTTAATTTCCGAAAGAGGATTCCGTTCCGGACGTTTGTAACATTTTGTAATCCCTAACAAAAGGCACTTCGGCCGTTGCCCCAAAATCTCTCTTTCTCTCTTTTTTTACTTTCTACATTTTCTGCATTGATTGTTAGATAAAAATATAAAAAAAACATAAAACAATAAGAAGCTTTTTAATACAAATAGAAAAGAAATTAATTTAATTATGATAAATATGAGACAAACAAATTTAACTTAAAACAAGATATTTAAATCGTCAATGAAATTGAATAGAAAATATTGATGATAAATAATAACCTTTAAAAAATGTGACCCTTATTAATAAACTAGATTATATAATATCTGATAAGAATTATTTGTATCTTAATTGCTCTTTAGCCATCGATTGTTATATTGGTAAATAAATAACAAATAATTGAATAAATCTATGCGGTATTTGAATAATTCACGTAGGCTTTGAAATACCGTGCGATTTTAATGCAACAATCGAAGCCAGCCGAGCATTAACGTTATTATATCTAAATAACATGGGAAAAGCTGCGAACTGAAACAGGAAATAAATGCGAGAATCGATCACGCCATACTTGCTCGGTAACGCACGTGATTATGCGTAATACTCTCAGATAATTACGCACAACAACATCGTGTTTGTCATTCGCTTAATCAAAGATCAAAAACATTTCCATCAAATCGTTTCTTCTGTGTTATTAATTTTTTTTACCTTTCATACTTTTTTCAAAATAATGTCTCAGGAAAATGAACCGACGACAAAATGACCAATGATATCATAAAAAATAATTATTAAATATTCGCGTGTGGATCATTCGCAAAAAGAAATTCGCAAAAGATAAGATTATTTTATGCTTTATTTTTCCTACGTTTGAAAACTACCACCGAGATATATATGTACGTATTTAATAGGAATTAAAAAAATACGCAAGGTTAATAATCATAATATTCCCATTTGACATGTGGATTTTTCATGTTTAATATATAAAAAAAGAAAAAACGCAAGAATAACAATATAAATGGAATATTTACATTGTAAAACGCTCTGAAATAATGCGCGTAAAAGGAAAAACGTTAAAGAAAAATAAATCATGCTCGTTGAATATTTATATGAAAATTACACGATGTGTACTTAAAAATAGTGGAAAGCCAAATAAAAACGCTTTGATATTATTTAGAGTTAAATTAGGGAAGCATTATGAGTGGAAAGAATTTAAATGAAAGGAAAGTTAAATTGAGAGAGAGAGAGAGATTAAGAGAGTAGGAAAAACAATGAAATACAAAGAGAATATAAAAGAAGAAAAGATTAATCGACTGAAAGAGAGAAAGATAAAGAAAGGCGGTGTCAAATATGGAGAGTGGTTGAAAGGAAGTGTGAAAAAAGTAGATAGATAAATAGATAAATAGATAGATAGAGAGAAATAAACGTAGTAGTCATTGTGCATAAATAACGAAGAACTTATACGCGTTAGCAATAAATCATGCAGCTACCACGAACAACAAAGAGACATGAAAAAAAAGAAAGGAAAGGAGAAAGAGAGACAGAAAAAAGGAAGAGAAAGATCATGTTGCCTGCTACAAACTCATTTTTATATGCGACTCATTCGATGACTATTTCAAATATACAATTTCAAAATAACCATACGACCGACGAAGAGTCAGTCGAAAGAATCTGAAAAATTGGAATTTTTTCAAATAAATCACTACCTAATTGAATTACGAAGGAAAACTCATCAAACGGTATATTTTACTATATTTCTAAAAGTACAATTAATCATAGTGAAAAATCGTAAATATAATATAAAAAAATTAAAATTATCACTCAACATCAGAAACATTCAGCCAACCTTTATCGTGTGAATCCATTGCAATTTTTTTCTCTATCTACATTCTGTTCCCCATACGTCTTTCTCTCCATTTCTCTTTTTTTTCTTTTTTTTTTATTCTTTTCTACTTCCGTACATCGTCATCCCTTTTTTCGAGTGTCCTTAAATTTTGTTTTCATGGTACGAAGGTTGTATGGTAACCAGCATAAAGTCGACCAACTTGAAACTTTCTTTTGGAATATACCTATTTTGGTAGGGAACTTTTTCAAGCTTCTACGATGCCACTTTTCTCTCTTCTATTTTTTTCTCTTCTTTCTTTTATTCTCGTTCTTTGTTTCAACGTACGGTGGGACGGTCACATGAAACACATCGAACTTTATATTGTCGGTCATTAAAAATGATGCACGAGCTTCGAAGAGAAACACACCGAAAGAATGGCGGTAGTAGAAAAATCGATTCTAGCAACATTGCAAGCTCGTGCCGAATCGCAATCTCTATCGATGCCGATGTCTACTACGAACATTGGTACTTCAAGTGCCGTACGATTTAGTTTTTTGCGCTCATAAAATAGGTGCTGTGCTTTGTTTCGAGGCACGCGTATATACCTATTCAAACCACCATGCCCTACAGCCACGCCGCACCATTAATCATAACATTTTTTCCCCAAAGATAAAAGCTTCCAATGAGATGCGAAGCTCTATCAAATCGCATTGTACGTTTCGAAATTTAATGATTATAGTCTAGGGAATATGAAATGAGTAGTCTCTCAAGAAGTTACCTGAATTTGAGAACTATTATTTAATTAATTACAACGTTTACATCTATTAGTAACTTTAGACATTTGTTTGTCCCTACAGTTTTAAATTCATACATCTATTTTGATCTTCAATTGCATTGTTTTGATATTGATTTATTTGATTAAAATTGACATCTTCGGATAGTTTTGCAAGTTTGAGTAAAAAGATTGTAAGTGGAGTGTTATTATTTATTGATGAGTTTTTAAGGAAAAAAATATCATGTGTGTAGATCACACATGTTAGAAGTGAAACTTTCAAAAAACTAAGTTTCGAGAGAATGAGACGAATGCAGAATATAAGGTTTAGGGTAATTGTAGGGTTTATTTGTTATGATATTATTATTATAATATTATTATTATAATTGTTGCGTAGCACGCAACGTAAAGCATGAGTTGCAGTGTGTATGTGGAAGTCTCCTGTTAATAGTGTCGTTTCGACAAAGCATTGATGCGTGGTGGGTGCTTTACCTATTCTTGCACTTCTATAGTCCTTACTAAAACACAAGTCCTTTCATTGAGAAAACCCGGTGGAGTGGGGGACTCTGCACCTATTGGTCAATCAAGCTGGGGAAGGGATGTCTGAAAACCAATTCTGGGTATAAAGGGACGCAAGAATCAAGGCCCCGCACTTCGATACAACTCAAGAATCACATTACATCGCCTACAAGAAGAAGAAGAAGAATGAGAATGAGAAGCGGCGGCAGCAGCGGTATACACGCATTGTCGGTATACCCGCAGCAGCAGCAGCAGCGGCGGTATATACGGGTCATCGTTATACTCGCCTTCATCAGATCCAGTAGCGGTATATACGCGACAGCGTTATACTCGCATCATCAGTTCCAGCAGTTCCAGAAACAGTATATACGCACTAGCTTTATGCATTAATAATAAACAACTCATACAACCAGGGGCGCAAAAGCGCCCCCCAAATTATTAAACTTTAAGCAACAACAATTTTTTACAACTCATATTCCTTTAACTCCTCCTTACGATGAAATAAATACCATAGTACTAATCAAGGCACCAGTACCCAACAATAATATTATTATTATAATAATGTTACCACATTCAAAAATTATTTTACGTTTTATTGACATATGATGACATTGACATAATGGCATGTTGACTTGGACGGACGCTGATACGTCGTGTGTGATTTCTGTTTGAACTTCAAGGCCCGATATTTCTGGCTCTGGCCCACCTGACGGTAATTCGCAGGTGGGCGTTTTCCGTTTCCCTGGTCTCGTGATTTAGAAGATATTTTAGCTGCAGGACTTTCTTTAATATTCGCGCATGCCTTTTCTATTTCCTTAACATCATTGACTTTGTTCTTGAAGTCGTCACCGTATAGCCATTCATTTGATAACATCGAGCCGACTATCGGCTTGATGTTCTTGTTTCAAAGCGGAGTTATGAACGACTTCCTGGCTACCGACTGTTAGTAAAAGACGTCTATGAGGATCTGACCGGCATGACTTATGTAGTCGGTAAGGAGATCCTCGTCAACTCTTTCTTCAGGTTGTTCTAACAACATGGAGACAGCGGCACCCAGAGCAGATATAGCCGTACTAACACAATTCTGAGTCTCAGCAAAATGCTAATCTCGCTTTTTTGCTGTGTCGGCAAGTAACGGTACTATCTCCGGGTTCAATTTTGGAAATTCGATCTATAAAATATTTATAAATATTATATAATTAATAATATTTAATATAATTATTTATATATTTTTTATATATTAATTTAATATATAATATAAATTTTATATTTATAAAAATCACCCTTTCTATTGTAGGCTTCCAATATCTCTTTCTTATTCTTCTCTGGAAGACCCTCAGTTTTCCACTTCAACCATGTATTTTTTAATTCTGGATGATATTTTACGTCTTTAAACGTACAGTCGTCAGGATGCATTCCTAAGACCTTCAAGATGAAGTCTTTAGCTGGTTCTTGCCCCGCTTGGTCTTTTTCGTCACTCTCGACCTGTTCAGCCTCTTACGTATCCTTCACGGTATTTCCGATATCAGGATCATTTTCTTCATTACTTTCAACATCTGTGAATTACAAAATAAAAAATTAGCAAGGTACTTTTTGTGCACTTGTGATACTTGCGTTCTTGTTGAACTCAGTCACAAATTGGCATGGTCGTATGGACCTGGTGATATTTTCGTTCTTATTGAACTCAATCACAAATTGACATGGTCGTATGGACCTGGTGACATTTTCGTTCTTGTTGAACTCAATCACAAGTTGACATGGTCGTATGGACCTGGTGATGCCGTGTGGGCAAACACCTCCCAACTTTCATGTGGAAAGTTAAGGTAATTTCTTATAATTAAAAGCATAATTAAAAGCATAATTAAGCTTATCTTCAATAATCTCTACAGTACTCGGTACTATGTTAGTACTAGTTGGTGAAAAATGTTCTTTTTGAACTTCCACCAACGCCTCAACCATTTTTGTGAGGTTATCCATGCGAGAACTGAGTTTGTCCAGTTTGTCGTCTTTCCTGCGCTTCGAATCTCGTGATCGAGATCTTGATCGAGATCGTGATTTTGAGCGCTTTTTCCCATGTCGAAACTAACTTAACAGACCTTTATTAATCACTTTTAATTACTTATTCAACAGTTGCGAAAAACGTATTGATGCTTCAGCACAACGAAACAATATGAATAAAGAGGGCGCATGGCGTAAAGAGTGCGCATGTCGAGATAAGATGGCGGAGAGGGCCAAGATTTGAATTTAAGCGTTGAACGTTGTGGATTTAAGCATGCTTATATTATTATATTATCATCGAGAACGAGACACGTAATATAATACATAACATATTACACAGTAAGCAAGTTCTCAATTTGAAGAAATGAGACGAGTACTATAAGTAGTAACTAAAATATTTATGGTAACTAAACACCTCTCTGTGTTCACGAAATGCACAAACGCGTTCTGTCTCATTCTCTCGCAGGCTCAATTCTATATGCTTGTCTCTTTTTCTCTTCTTACTAAATATCGTGGCCGTTACATACGCTCCGTGCGAAGTCATGGCAGGGGAAACCGAAACGGACACTAGCGCACGCAGTGGATAACTTTGGCAATAAAGGAAAGTGTTTCTTATTTTGGAGTTAACAAAACATACGTGTGACAATTAATTTTATGATATTTTTAAAAAAATGGGTAGAAATAGCCATCGCAGTTGCTGTGTAGTAAATTGTAAAAATACGAGTGCAAAAAGTGATTGTAAATTTTACAAATTTCCGACTGCCAAATGGAAAATCAATCAAAGAAAAATGTGGGTAGCTGCAGTGAGGAGGCAAAAGTAAGTAGTATCCTAGCCTTTATTTTCGTAACATCAATGATACTGAAAATAGCTTGTGTTCTAATATTTGTAAGTTGAATAAAAACAAAAAATTTAAATTTATAATTAGTAATTAAAAGTTAGAGAATAATCACTCTGCATTTAATTCTTTACAATTACTTATTGCAAGAATTAATTTTTTTTTCAATTTTATAATTCATTATAAAAAATTATTTATTATATGTCTCAAATAATTAAATGTATCAGTAATATTTTATAATTTTTCATGAAGTGCTGATGGATCACAGTGGATTCCCAAATAATACGATTATATTTGTAGTAATCATTTTATTGGAGGCAAAAAATCCGAAGATGAGTTAAGTCCTAGCTATATTCCTACAATATTTCCTCCAATTTAAAAGTATCGAAAAGTGAATGAACTTTCTGCTGAGGACAGGTAAATAGTTAGTAATAAAAAATATAATTATAAATGATTAATAAATTATATTTCATACAAAAAAATTAATTATTGCAAAATTTAATTTTGTTATTTTCTTGTAGTCTCTGAATAGAGTTTTCCTTTCCAGAAAATAAAATATAAAGAAAAGAACTGTAAATACTAGTTTTTCGTCTACATCTGCGACACTTAAAACTTTCCTACATATATGTTTATTTTTTTTATAACAACGTCACATCGTACTTTATCTGTTTGCCAATATTATTTAAAGTTTGATCTACTGTGGCTATAATCTAACTTTTTATTTACTACAGTAAACGCTACAGCTTTCATACTGTTTTTAAATTATTAATTATACTTACATTTTAGCGGTAACTTTTGCATCATAATTGCACAAGATTGAAATTGTATTGTCACGTGGTTTGACATGCAACAAAAAATTTTTTTTAATAACAAAAATGAATTGTTATCGCAAAGCCCTATACGTTTAGATATTAAAAACCTCAGCAGCAGCATCCTTTAGTTCATAGATACCTTGGCGCTGCAATCACGCAAGGAGCCTATAGCCGACAGCCGCTCCGTTACATTGCTGCCACGTTTCACTTTTTTCAAATCACTCCCTATTCTAAAGAAGTTTTCACTTCAAAAATTTTTACGATAATTTACGATTTGATAACGCGGAAAAATATAAGATACATGTATATTGTTTTTATTCTTTGTCTACAATAATTTGATTTTAAGAGTCAAAAATTACCTTAAGTTTTTCATTGCATATTTATTATTGCATTTATAGTGAAAACATCGGAGTTTACCTTCAGGCTATTGCTTTTTTTTTTTTTTTTGATAGAGAAATATTTCGAAATCGGTTTACACTTGGACAAAATTCTGTGACATTTTTGAAGCAATCAAAGCATGAAAAAAGGTTCGAAATTGTTTAATTGACATGCCACACGCACTATGCACATTAGGGTGGGTCAAAAAAATGACTTATTTTTGAAGTAAAAACTTCTTTAGAATAGGAGTGATCTGAAAAGTAAAGAAACGTAAACGGAGCTATGTAACGAAGCTATGAAACGGCTGCTATACTAAATAATGAGAGAAAAAAAGACAAACATATAGGATTTAGCCTGCGAGAGAATGAGACGGAATATAGCTATACAGTTTTTCCTATTCTCGGTCTCTTCTTTATGCTATGCTTCGTAGTTATCGCTCCCGGTTTTATTTGCGTGTGTTTGTGCGCGACTGCATACTACAAAGCCTGGACACGTATTCTTTCAATACTCGAAATGTTTGTAGGTACGAGCGATAGAAAGGTAAAAGAATAAACAGAGATAMGCACKTAGGTATGCGACAWAAGTATAAGGTCCAAACCAACCGACGGTCGAAATAAAGAAAGAAGGTGCGTGGTCTGTTTTTATTTTACCAAACGTGGTATTTCTTTTCTATTTAAAAATGTTTCTATTTTATTTAAAAATTAATATTAAATTATTTATTTCGCAAATATTGTAATTAACAATTACGAAATATATAGAATACAATAATTGTATTGTCTGCAATATTTTACAAACAAAAAAAATGATTATCAAATACATCAGAGAAAAAGAATTAGACAACATTGTAGAATATTTTTCTTATAAATATCCAAAGACATGTTTTTTAATTAAAATGTTTGCGTATTTAGGAAATTTATACTAATTTTTCAATAAAATAGAAAAGTTTTTAAATAGAAGAAACTAGACACGTTACAAAAACAAATAAACCCTTATTTACTTTATATTTCCAATAAGAATAAAATAATATAACTTATTTTACAAATATAGAAAAAAAAAATGTAGAAAATAAATTTTTAAAAAAATTTTTAATATTATAAAATAAAACAACGAAAATAGAAATAGATTTTAAAATCGTTGTAATTCAAAACCCGATGAAACGAAAAAAATACGACCACAATTGTTCCCTTCTTTAACAGCATCTACAGTTATTAGTTGCAACACAAAAAGAAATACTTGTGTATGCTAACCCATGATAAAGATATCTCACATTCACAGAAAGTGTGAAAAGTGTACGAGAAAAAAAATTCATCTACCTGAATTTCAAAAAAATATATATGTAGGGAAATTTTTTAGGGTGAGAGGTGCGAGGTGAACATACACCCAGTTTAATCCTACTAATAATATTTATTTAAAACAGGTATTAGAAAAAGTACAATATTAGTTTCACACTCTTACGATTACAACTTAGATGAGCGACTGTATTCTTACAACTGATAACGACTTATAATACAACTGCGACTGTTACGACTGATGACTAACTACGGCTATGACTACTACTGTGACTACTGCTCTACTTCTACGACTGAGATTGCTTTACTTCTACGACTGAGACTCCTTTACTTCAACGACTGCGACTGCTCTCTTATTTCTTTCCAAGTCTTTTATATCAGAAATCACCTATACCCCTTTTTAGAGGAAAGAAGCTTACAAATCTTACTGACCAATAGCATAAGGATCCACCCCATAGTCCACCGACAGGTTCAGGCTATGGTTTTCGGTAGTGGGAACTATGCATACAGAAACTTAATCTAGCACATTGGAATGTTACCCTTTTTTGGCATCGCATATGTTTACACAGGTATCTGAAATTCTTCAAAGGGTCCCGACACTGCACACATGGTTTTTATTATACTAATATCCTAATAATCCTTAAGGTTCGTTTATAGTTTTATGGCCTACCTGATCTTTTCTTTTAGTCTGAAAAGAGTTTCCTTTTCAATAAAATAAGATCTACAGAAAGGACTGAATACTAGTTTTTGTCTACCTCTACTACACTTAAAACTCTCCTACATATATTATATTTACTTGGATTAGGACGGCGTATCTTTCTGTCGACAAATATTCTACAATTTTCGTCTCTATCTATGGCTATCGCATTCAGCATTCCATCTTGATGGATAGAAAATATTAGTTTTTGTCAGCTACCTTTACCCCAAGGTCGGTTCCTTATCATAAGAAACGAATTATAAAAAACAGGGAAGGTCTGTTGAAATTCGATCTGCATTTATTATCTTTATTATCGATGCGATAATATTCATGCCTATAGTTTTTTTTACAACGTGTTATATTTTCTCTATTTAAAAATGTTTCTATTTTATTGAAAAATTAGTATTAAATTCTTTATTTCGCAAATATTATAATAAATAATTATGAAGTACATAGAATATATAATAATTTTATTATCTGAAATATTTAAAAAAAAAAAAAGGATTACCAAATACATCAGAGAAAAAGAATTAGAGAATACTGTGGAATAAATGTGGAGCAGCTGACAAATTCCATTCAAAAGCAAATAAATTACTGTTATATTTTTATTTTGCTTCTTTATAAAATATATTTGATGCATAAAGACAAAATATGTCTATTAAATTTGATTTTTATATGTTTTTATGAAAAATATCCAAAGAGATGTACTGACCCATGCATATATGAAAATTATATTATAAATTGTGATGTTTGCGTATTTAAGAAACTTATACGAATTTTTTAATAAAATAAAAACATTTTTAAGATGTTGAACGCCCAGCGTGATTCGGTGGAGCTTACCACGGAGCTGAAATTTGAGACTCGTAGTGTACACAGTTCGATAAGCTGAGAGAGCGATACGATTCAATGCATTTTTTAGATTTTTCGTTGTTCAGATCTTTATTTAGACGAGAGTATATTGAAAGATAAGTTTGTGATCCAAAGAATAAGGACGAGATATGTTATAAGTAATAAGGGTCTCGAAGTGTGGTAGGCTACAGAGGTGAAAAAACATTTCTAGAGAATATCATTATTAGATCTTTCATTGCATTTTACCAAAACCTTCGTTCAGTCCAACATTATTTTCCATTTGTTTTTAATAACGTC